CAGGGGAGTTCTGAGGCCTCTGGCTCGAGCGCAGAGAGCTGGGCGCCACCCAGGGGTTGGAGGGACAGCAGGTGAGGGCTCTGTAATTAGCTCCACACCGGATAGTAGTCAGATAGTGGGTGCGACGCTCGGGAGCTGGGAAAGGTTTGGAAAGCAAGCAGAGAGGCCGAGGCCAGGCAGTTTGGGTGTGGACTCAGGTCCGAGGCATCGTGTTAGTGTCCAGACTTGCATAGTTTACCACAAACTTATGTTTGTGCTCAGGAATCTGTGAGCTCGAGGTCATGGGGGGGGGGTCCCTGAAAGAGGGGCTGGTATCTGAGTGTTTGGCAGGAGATGGGTACAGGCGTGGGTACCCATTAATTGGTCTTTGTGTGACTCTCTGGGGGTGGGAGGGAGGTCTTTTGAGACTAGTATCTTGATTGGGATAAGGGTGAGTGGCAACTTAGAAGGACACTTTTCAGCCAATGGCAAGGGTGGATATGAGTCCACCCTCATATGAATACATATGAGATGATGAGTCCCCTGCTAGTTTGGACATAGGGAGCTGATTTCGGGGCTGTGGTAGGGGTATAGCGAGACAGATTTCCAGCCTGGATCTTGGGTCCTGTCTCAGGTTGGTTTCTGAGTATGACGGTCATTGCCAGCCAGAACATAAGCACCAAGGTTCCCAGATCCCAGGAAAGAAAAAGTGGGTGAAACCCACACACAGTCTCTTGCAGCTCCAAGGAGTCTGGCCAAGGTGGAAAGTTCAGGAAATCAATTCTCTATCTTGTCACACCTGAATTTGCCTTACAGGCACTGGTTTTACTCTAGGGATTTTCTGCTTCCTTCCCTCCTGGCGCCCCCTGGCTACACAAGTCTAGAAAAGCTCTTCAGGGTCCTAGTATAGCTGGTGGGCTTGGGTCTATAGTTCCCTATGGGAGGGCCTGGCCTAGGGTCTGATGGTGGGGGTGGGAGAGGTGGGCGGGGTGTGCCTAACATCGAAGAATCTACTCCAAATAAGGGAAAATATGAAAGAGCTGGATTTTGGCTTCCTGGAGCTGCCCCTGGATCTTTGAGATGGAGCGACATCTGGTGGTGGCACTGTGTCCACTCTAAAGCCAAGAACTCTCCCCCCTCCCCCACCCCTACCCCCGAAATAGCCAAATCATAGGGCTGGAAGCTGGGACTCCCAACTTCTGTGTGATCCATTACTATGATTCCG